GTTCTTGCAATATGCAGTTAGATTCATCTAAGTTGTACACATTTTTTTGACGCTTTTAAAATGTAAACATCACTGTGACAAACCTAGCTTGAAATTGTTGTCTCATCTAACAAAGAGGCCTCAAATTAGAAGGTATCAGTGTAAAAATGCAGTTTGTTTAGAGATTATTTCTTGGCGGAAACTGCCGTTTCTTCCTGTGGCGACTGACGGTAAGCACAGCCTGACATAGCCCACGCGCTGATATGAAAACACTTGGGCACAAGGAAATAATGATTAAATGGAAACTTTGACAAGCTCAAATTAAGGCGTCGTGTTTGCTGTGATGAATTGTCTAGCTCGGGGAACTTTCAAATCTGTTGACGTTGTTTTTTTCTTAGCGCACAGAAATAAGTGACGGAAGAAGAACTGTGAATCTTCATCTACACAATCTGCAGACACTAGTAGGAATAATACAACACAAAGGAGCAACCCAAAGTTGACACAATGCATGACAAGGGACACAAAGTCATGACAAGGAAAGACAAGTTTCAAGTGTGCATTGTATAAAAAGGCTTGACAACTTAGATAGTTTAGCAGTAATTAATAGCCCAAAATATAATAAATGTGCAGTAGAGAAAACAATCAACTCTTTAATTTACATTTGAACGTGTCAATTTAAGAGTTGGATGAAGTTGGTTCTGATGTAAGCCATTAAGTGTTTTACAAACTAGTACTACCAATTAGACATTAATTGTCTGACTTCCTGGAAGCTGGTGCAAAGAAGCTTAATGTGCTTTCTTCTCCTGGTTCTCTTTATACAAACCTAGCAGACATTTAATTGGAAGACACTGTGAAGACCAAGCAAGAGTGGCTGCTAAAAAGTACGATAAAACACTACGATTTTCAACTTAGCCTTTAGTGTTTAAAACCGTTTTATTGATGTGGGTAGTAAAAATCCCTCCTCTTTTTGTCGAATAAAATGCACTCATTCTTGTTTTAATTTAGGTGAAGGAAATGTAAGTGCAGGTGATTACTTGCATTGACACAGAGAGTCTATTGGACCACAGTCATTTGGTGAAAGAGCAAAGTCAATCTGAGTGTTGTCTCCGTCACTTTAAACATGGCCTGAGGGGTGAATTGTGTGTCTGTGCTATATAATGTGGTCAGAAACCAGATTGGAAATTGTCTAAAAAAACGATTTACAGATACAACAAATGTGCCATTATTTTTCCAAAAGTAGGAACTACTTTAAACTATTTATTATTTATTCATATAAAATTTTTAGTATTAAAACATCCAAGTTGGAGGGCAGGTTTGAGAAAATTTGGAAATGATCATTGCTTGCAGCCCTGAATGTTGCATACATTTGCCATATTGTGATGTGTGTATTGATATAAAAAGGTTTTTCATGATATGTTAATGGTTTCTACATTTCCTACATGAAGGCGCTATCATACAGACACTAATAGAGTCGGCTTGTGGAGAGTCGCATAACTGAACTGTAGGTCAGTAAACATGTGTAACTTACTCTGACCTATATCACCACCACAGCAGCATCATTGAGCCCCAGAGGAAGCTGTCAAAATGTGATGTATAGTATGGTGTTAATGACATTGTGTCCACATAACAAAGTAACCTACATCCAGAGGATCAGAACAGGTCAAAGGTGTAAAACCATCGACTTCTTGCTTCCAGGACCCGGTGAAGACGGTGGAGGAGACGGTGGCCCGTAAAGGCCCCGAGGTGCCGAGGAACAGCGAGCAGAAGATCATCACCACTGCTGCCGACTTGACGGCGATTTTGCCCCCACCTCCGCCACCGATACCCCCACGCCCGGCCACACGCTCGCCCCCACTGCCGCCCCGACTCCCTTCCTTCACAGAGTATTTCAGTATGCAGAGCGGAGGAGGCGGTGGCGGAGGAGGAGGAGGGTTCGGAACGAAGGCATGAGAAAGGACAGAGGGAGTTTGGGGGAAGGCATGGAGAGAATGGACAGAATGACAATACAACTTGAAGAAAAAGGCAGAGTGGAAATGAAGGTCATACTGACGCCACGAAAAACAGATTTGGATGGACGAAGCAGAGAAGTGAATCCCTAAACGGTCCCTTTTCACCTGTGAATGGAAATAACCTGACGAGAAGAGTGAGGGGAAATGGCTGTGAGATAGGAGTGCTGAGCTTGTTAAAGAATAAAGAAGCAATAAATATTTGATGCTGACCAGTAGCAGGCACACGGAGAGAAAGATGACAAAGTGGATGTAGCCAGAGCAATAGGATGATAGCTGTGCACGGTGTGGAAATGAACAAAATTCTTGAAATTCTCCTATTCAAAAATTCACGAGGCATTGATGGTCTGGAGGAGTTTGTAAATAGTTAAACTGGAGAGAGAGAGCTACCACTCTATATAGTTTTATTTCAAAAAAGGAAATTTGTTTTTATGTTTTTTTTCCCACATTGTTAAATTCCAGTTGGTGCTGTGACCATCTGAAAAAAATCTGATGCCATTAGATTTATCCAAGTTACGTTAAAAAAAAAAAATCAAAAACAAGACCTTTTTTATGTTTGACACATTTTGATAAAGTATAGATATTAAATGGAGTTTGTTGGGTTTGTTTATATTCTTATATGCCTTCATTGCAGCTGGTTATTCTGGATTGATATGCTGATGTGTAATGTAAAATGTCACGTTTACTGTGGGCACTTCTAGGTACTCGTAAAACACGCATGTTTGTATCGTATTTCCTGTCAAAAAGCTGGTATATGTAACTTCATGTGACCATACAATATTTGCGTATTGTGTGTATTGAAATCTATACTTTTATAAATGCATACAATAGGCTTTAGTATATTTTTGACTGGATAAATTCTGTTAGTTGTTGTTCCAATCAAAACTTTGCGCTGTGTGAAACATGAAACCAGTATTATACAATGTCGGTTTTAGTTGAATTTTGACTGGAGTGCAGAATATGCCTGGTCAAAATGTCATTTCTGTGTATGTAGACGTTGGTGAATGTACTGATGCAATACAGCACAAGGACAGGGGTGATTCTCAAGTTACTGGAGTACTACAAAACAAGTTTTGTCAAATGTTCCTATCTCTCTTTGGCTTTCAACTACAACATCCATGATTTAAGAGTAGGCGGCTACCTTTTAAAAAAAAAAAAAATACAAGTAACTTCATCCTCACCCCTGTCTCGTACCTGAAACATGAATATTTGTTGGCTTTATCTCACATTAACATTCAAACCGTGCGAAAAGCTGAACGAATAATACTAGTTTTATATCCCCTAACATTGAGCTATGACAACAACAACAAAAAAAGCCTTGTAGATGAACTGTGAACTCTGCAACACAACTGTACATTTTGTCCGTCCTGCATGGAGCACTTTAATGTTCCTGGTCTTAGTCTGTTTATTCGTGATGTCACCTTATAAGACTGCTTTGAAACCTGTGTTCACACCACTTGGGAGTAATAATTCAAATGCATACACCTGTAAATACAGTCTGAAAATGTCTTTGACGGTCCGGACATTATAGGGAACACATCATGCTCAGTTTACCACTAACTTCCTGCAAACGGGGAAAAAGGACACTAACGATTTCATTTGTATCTCAATGGCATTTATTTAATTTCTAATTCGTAAAAATGGTGCAACTCTGCTTAAAGTCCACAGATTTATCAATGGCAATCTTGCTGTAATGGAGTACTGTAGGGTGTTAGGACTGTGGTGTGTAACTTGTGAGAGTGTAGTCAGAGGTGTAACTTAATGATAGATGAACTAGAGTACTAGTCGTTATTTCTGATTGTGTCCGGTTTATATTCGGCATGTCTGCCATTTCGTCTGCCGTTGCCTGTTGTTATGGTTGCCATGACTTGACTTAATAGACACTGTTTGACTTGACTAACAGACGGGCTTACTGATACTGTATCACTGCTTCAACATTGTGTATTATGACGTACAATTACAGGACCGAGACACTAAGTGGAGAGAACTTGACGATAAGAGATTGTGTATGCATGACAGAAAACAGCACAGCTTTTAGGCTACTCAGAGCGATCTGGTTAAGAGCACATCACTGAAGCACTGTTTAAATGCATTTTAATGGTGTCAAATGACAATTCTAAATACGCTGTATATATATATACACTTTTTGCCAAAATAATAAAAAAAAATATGTTTTTATTAGAGGGCTCATCTTGCTGTGTGTATTATTTGGCTACGGAGTTGATAAGCAACAGCGTCTGTGTTCCAGTTAGGACAAGGGCATGTGTCCAAAGGAGTCGATCTGATATCCGTAAATCATATTTAGAAACTGTTCTCATTACAAGACTCCATTAAAGTAAAACACCAGAGGGACAGACTCCAGGCTGGGCACAATTTGATGTAGGCTAGCCTAATTATTTCAGTCCCTGCCAGTATCCCACTCTGTGACTGCTGAAGTGCAGATCTATAACACACTGCACCCGTCTGTGCTCCAGTAATGGTATACATTTGTAAATTACTTCCAGGCTAATCACTGACAGTCTTTAGAGGAAAAATTCTAACTTCTTCCGTTATTCTGTAACAATTTGCGATGTTCATCAAGTGAGTTTAGATGTGCTCATCAAATCTAATGCAACCAAATACAATAGCCCAACATTATGGAAATGTCTTTATTTGTGCTTCTGTTTAAAAGAGAAAAGAAAAGCATTGTATCGTCAATATAACAATATATTATAGTACAGCATTACAGACATGTTTCACTGCAGACACTTGTTTCTGCATAATCCACCAAATTAAATTGAGGAGTTTTTCCTGAATGACGTGGAATATAAGAAGCAGGTGGGCTTTAATAGATGCTATGCAGCTGCATTATGGTGAGTGTTGGATCCAGTGTTTTTGGAGCTTGACCCAAACTAAAGACTAGAAGTCAGAATATATATTCATCTGCTGCTTAGACTCTTTAAATCGGTCTCATGTCCCCTTAATACTAAATTGCTTCAGTATCTTTCCTGTGTAGCAGACAAACATGTTCCCTCATTTGTTTTGGCCAAACTTATATTTATTGAACATATTTATTAATACATAACCATGAATGTCTTTTGTGGACACTGGAGCTTTTGAACAGTTTTTCGTTGAAGAAATGGATCAGTGTCTATAAACCACAATCTGCAGCATCTGCCGGTGGCTCTTCGGAGGCATTTCATCACCTAACCATCATCCTTCAGCGACCACATCACGGATCCAACACCAGGATGTGTTTACTTAAGCTTTTGTGGGTAACTCCTGTGCCCTCTCCTCTCTGTAGCCTTTGAGCAGCTGGTTGAGGAGTGTCAGTTCGTTCTCTTTTTTCACAGGATAAAGAGGCGGGAAGGGGTTGCCTTTGTACTCTAGGACGGCCATCTGAGCTCTGTCCAGGTTCAGTCTGTTGGGAATGCGTGCCATCCGTGTGTAGCCATTTGACTGAGTCTGAAACCGTGGAGCAAGGACCTTGAAGAGCTTTGGGACCAGATCCTTTTCCTGAAGAGAAGAAGCACGCTCAAACTAAACAACGACTTCACAAGAACTGTTTTACATTCAAGTGACACAGCTTGTCAGAAGTTATGGAGAGCTGCAGACACGTACCGTCAGCCAAAAACTGGCCATTTTCATCGCCTTCTCGTCAGTGTCTCCTTTTTTGGCGTAGTCAATCAGCTGGCAAAAACAAAAACACATACAGTCAGACCCATTGCGTGTGGAGGAGTGAACAGCATTTCAGATTGTCTCAATATAAAATAATCTTGTTGACATTAAGGTTAGACATTGTTGGATCAACATTTATGGACAATATAATATTTCTGTTCAATATTTATTCACGGTGCAACAAAGAAAAAGTGGAGAGCACCACAGCTCTGGATTAAAGCTTGCAAACTTTATTGGACTTAAAAAAGGCAAAGTTTTGATTATAAGGACAACACTGGTTACATTCACACTCACTCAAATCAAACAGTTGGTGTTCATTTTAATGCTGCACTTCTCTTTTTTAGATATTTGTATATAATATTGAAATATGTTATTTAACTGAAAGTATTCATCTATCAATATTGTGGTGACGAACTATTGACTTTTGATAATGTATCTAAAAAGGACCGTATTTTACGCTTTTCGTTTCATAATTTTAACATTAAATCATGCCACAGTTTAATAAAAATTATAACAGTGACATATTCTTCATCATTGACTGTTTACCATATTTCTGTTGCATTGTTGACTTTTCTTCTTTCCACTCTAAAATGTTATGGACAACCCTTCCCTCAGGACTTGTGCATGATATTGATCCTTCACGTAATCAACATTAGGGACGAAATAAATGAACGGACAGCTATGTTAGCTATGCTAGCTAGCATAACCGGGTCGTCGTTACCTTTTCGGCGTAGAAGCGGACTTCATCTGCTCGGCCCGCCGTGGTTTCGATCCTCTCGTGTCGGACCAGTCCTGTCAAAATGTTCCGCAGAATGTTGATTCGGGACTCCGGACCTAGACCTATCCTCCGGGCCATCCGGCCATGGGAGATCAACATTTGCAACGTGAGGCGCATCTTGTCCGGTTAGATTCGCCTGCACGAGTCAGCGACAGACAAACGGGGGGGGGGGGGGGAATAAGGTAAATATATATGTGGTAAGCGTACAATAATATCTTCAAACCTCCCTCTGTCTATCTTAAAAAGCAGTTACCTCAATGTAATAACAAGCCCTGAGGTCAGTCAAGTCAACGCGAAGTTCTTTGACATTGGTGGTGCGTCGTCAAATATGTCCGACTTGATCACAGAACTGGTGAGCGACAGTTCCACTAATCTCTGCAAACATTCGTTCTATGGCTGCAACCATAAACGATGAAAACCAAGAACTACCGAAAAGAAAAAAAAATCAAGATATTATTATTCAGAGTCTTTAAAAATAGAAGCGACACAGGACAGTTTGGGTGACTGTATATTTTTGTAACGTTGATTGTTTGGATTATTATTCTATACAAATCTTTACAATGTTTCTGGTAATGGGGGAATCAAGCTCATTGTTTTATTTATTTATTTCAGTGTTTCCTTCAGTATACCTTACTTATTTCTAGATTATTTGTAATGCTATTTCTTCATACCTTTGTTTGATCTATACATTTACTGTTAATACTGTACGACCTTAATTTATTATAATATATTGAGATGACTGGTCATTTGGGGCATGTGGAAAGCCCCACCTGCTGGCAGCAGGAACATAGTGTGATTTTAGTGGTACTGAGTAATATACAATACAATTTTGGATTAATGCATGAAAAAAACCCATCTTCGATTGCTGCAATTTAAGGTCGGTGGATGGATATATTTAAAAACATCGTAAGTGCAGTTACAGTAATGTTAAATGCCCCGAGTGTGTGAAAACAACAGTGCGCATGCCCTAAACCAGTGGTTCTCAAACTGTGGGGCGCGCCCCTCTAGTGGGGCGCGGTGGTATTACAGGTGGGGCGCAGGGGGAAATGCAGGTTGGTTTTTTTTTTAATTATTATTTTTTTAAGTAATTAATAAATACATGACGAAATGCCTGTACTTTCGTGTAAATGTTTACGTTACGCCGCTAACAGGTTACGCTTGCGCATGCGCGACGGCCATGATCCTTGGCGACTCACATGTGTGGCTTACTGTTGAAGTGAAATGAAGAGACATTTGGCAGGCGGGAACAGAAAAGCAACCTCAAGCAATGCATCCGAGACGAACAGCAAGCAGCCAAGAAGAAAATATGATGACGCCTATCTTGCTCTGGGTTTCACAGTGAACGCGGTAGGAGATGAGGAGAGACCAGTCTGTGTTTTATGTCTGAAAACTCTAGCTGCGGATAGGATGAAACTTGTTTTGTTTAGTTTTTCACAGGTTGCACTTTATTGTTATCTTGAAAAGATGTTTAGTGCAAAACAGGTTAATTGGAAGCCAATTGCAGTTCTTTTTTGCACAGATATAACTTTATTTGCATTGTTCTAACAAAGTGATTGCACATTTTATTTGTTTTTGTTTGATGGAGCAATCTGGTTTACTTGAAAGTAATTGCAATTTTCTTGATTCTATTATTTGAAAAAGCACAGGAGTCACAAAATGTTATTTCAATAAAAGTTCAACATGGACCATTTTGTTACAATTTTGTTGGGGCGGTGGGGCATGAACATTTTTCTTCCTCCAAAGTGGGGCGCGACAGAAAAAGTTTGAGAACCACTGGTCTAAACCAATGGGGATAGCACAAATTGATGTCACGTGGGGCTGATTGCGTGGGGCTGATTGATTACCTGTTGCCCCGCTGCAATTTAAATGGTGAGTTGGTTGGTAGTTGGCAGAAGACAATAAAGACACATGAACAATGTAGATGATCGCGTATGTAACTTGAAAAGTCTGCCTTTTGAAGAAGAACTCGAGAATAAACACTGCTGCAATATTGTTATAAACCAAACCCTCCGGGTCAAAATTAGTCATTTAACGAAAATGGTTAACGTGAGCTACTGTAGCTCATCAAAGAAGACTGACAGCTCATACAAAGGTGGAACCGAGCAGTAACCTGTAACATCACGTGGAGAACAGGTATGTGCTCAGCTGGATTATCGCGTGTGTGTAACTATGTGGAAATTGTGTTTTTACTGGTTTGCATCTGTTAAAAGTAGTTTTTGCCCCACCATTTCTTTCCACCGGGATTTTTGTTATTATTAAGTTCATATTCCCCTCAGTTCATTCTTTATTCGTTCATGTGGGTTTGCCAGGCAGATCAGAGGACCAGAGAAAGGGAGAGATACACTAAAAATGTAGGTTTTTTTTTTTTTTCCCCAACAGGCAGTTTCATTGAAACAGGATTTTTCAGTGTAGAAACAGCTGTAGCAGGTGTGATTGGACTGACTTTAGTAAGATGCCATGGTGCTCTGCAGCCAGTCTGTGAAAATGCATGTCAGATGCAAGCGAGAGGGGAAAAAAGGAATATTGAAAACATTATATCACAAAAGGGCTTTGAGAATCGTTCTGAGTCATGAAAGTCAAATCAATGATTGCTGTGGGAAGCTTTTTTATTTTTACCTTGTTGGCATAGACACCTGGGTGGTTCTTCTCTGCACACCCAAAGCCCCAGGACACAACACCCTGCAGCTCACCGTCACACACAACAGGACCACCGGAGTCACCCTGATAGTGGGGGAGCAAAGCAGTTTAACATACGAAAGTGTGAAGTCTCAACTCCGTGCTGCTGAACAGGTCATAATACTCTGTACACAAGCAGAGATGCATACCTGGCAGGAGTCCTTGCCTCCCTCCAGGTATCCAGCACAGAACATTGCCTCGGTGATCATGCCGGGGTAGGAGTTGTCACAGTCCTCATCAGACAGGATGGGGATATCCAGGCACTGCAGCCTGTTACTATCAGCAGCTGTGCAAACGCACAACCAGAGACCCAATGACATTGATGGACAAATGTACAGTGAATAACAGAACCCCTGTGTGGAGGCGGTGTTTGATACTCACAGGAACTCATGGTCACACCCCATCCAGAGACTGTGCATGCGATCCCGGCAGGAGCACAACTAGTGGGCAGAGCCACAGGCTTCACATACTGGTTGATTGCAGGTTTGCTAAGCTCGATCAGCATGATGTCGTTGTTAACCAGCCAGGACTCGTAGTTTGGATGAGGGATCACGCGGGCTGCAGAAATGATCTGTTCATTGCCGTCCATGAACCAACGGTTGTGATCACGAGGACAATGTCCATTTTGCTGAAAGAGGGAAAGAAGTTGTGAGTGAGACAGAGAGAATGGAGAACGAGAGGGATGACTTGTGAGAAACTAGTGCCTTTGTTGTTTTTGTAATTTTGGATATGATTTTCGAGGAGCACCTACGTACGATTTGTAGCAGTGAGCGGCAGACACCACCCAGTTCTCGTTGACCAGGGAGCCACCACATAAGTGGTAGCCGGAGTTCAGAGACGCCTGATGGGGCTGAGAATTAGGTGTGCACTCATGCCCTCCTACAATCTTGTCCTCCTCTGTGGCAACTGAAAAGAAAATTATTAACATCTCTTCAAAGAATGAATAGCCTCTGTACAACACTGTCAGGCTACAATGCAACAGCCCCTGGTGTTTTTCTGAGTCATAGATTTTCTTTGGCAAACAACTAATCCACTATCTGAAAGGAATAGTTTTTCTGCGCTTGTTTCTAAATTTGGTCCGTACTTACACACAGCTCCAAGGAGCAGAGCAAAGACCAGAGACCCCATGATTGCTTGATGCCACATGAAGATGCACAGATGTTCCTTGACCCATGCCAGCTTTTTTTATTGAGCGCCTGAACTTATGCCGACTGTAAAGAAACATCCCTATTTCTGCTGACCAATCAAAACCTTCAAATAGTGCTGATGGGAAAACGTTGCTATCCATACTAAAACTCTGCCAAAACGGGGCTGCAAAGTTTTAACGTGACTCTGGTTTGATGATTTTGCTCAATTCTGTTACAAAAAAACCCATTGACACTGTGTGCATTATTTTAATTAGATCTGTTGTTTCTCTGGCCTGGTTTGAGTACAGTGCAGTATGTTTTGTATGTTATCAGCATTCTGACCTTGATTCGGCCCCAGAAGCAGTGCCGGGTGGAGCTTCTCTCACACTCACCGAGTGGCTCTGGCCTTCACAAAGGCAACTGCCACAAAAGCAGTCCTAAACAGAACTATTTAAAAATGTATATGATTAAAAAATAATAATAATTTAAAAAAAAACTTTCTCTGAATTTTTTTCAGCACAGCTATTTTAATGGCACGATAATGTGTCACGTTGTAAGAACAATGTGGTCAAAGTGAAGTTAATACATTATACTTTAATACATTAGCTAGTAAAACAATACAAATATGCATTCAGATTAATCAAACAGATGGGTAACAATACTTGGAAAAAGACTGAGTAAAATACTGTTGAATAAATGTGGCATTAACTTAAAAAACGATATTGGCTAAAAACTACAGTAATGACTAAAATACAGCACAGTGAGACAGTAATATTTTCACATTCTGTGGGATGTTCTTACTTACTTTGACCCAGTTTATTACATACATTCACATATTGTGGAGCTAAATATACTACCAAATCAAATGTAGTAGATACTCTGATATGATTACGTTTGTCACATTTTAAAATAAATAAATTCTCAGTCTGTATTTTCATCAGCTCCATCTCAGCTTTTTATATTTATCAGTGAAATGATTTCCTGCTACTTCACACTCTCTGAAAATGAAACATACTACTACTAATACTTCTACTTACACATTATTACACTGCTGTCATATTTTCTATTGCATTTGTTCATTTGTTCATCTATATAATTCCTCTGCGGGGTGTTGTTTGCTTAATAGCCTGAAAATATATTAGCTTAACTTGACATGACTCTCTCACAGTACTGGTACATTTTACTATTGTAGTGAAACGAATGGTTAGCACAGAAGTAGTGCTAACATTTAGCCACAATTACTGGATGTAATGTAATGTACATAACCATCATTAAACATAGCAAGTTTGTCATATTTCGTCTAAATACAGTATTTTTAGTGGATATACATTAAGAACTAATTGCCTTGTTTATACTGTCCTGAAGAGCAGTAAACAGGTGAAATGAAGTTTAAATGTTTCAAGTATTGTTTCAAGTATAATGATGAAAACTTCATAATGTAGGACAACATGGACAAAAATTGAGAGAAACGTTATTTAAAAGTTAAGACCAAAGACTTTATTGACTCAGATGGAAAATGACTGCACATTGTTCAAAACTTAACGACAACAATGAAGTTAAAATGATAGAAGAAAGGCAACAGAATAAGATGGTGGTCGCAGGATCAGACTTAATAGCTGGCCATGGTGTTCTCCAGCCACTCGTTGAAGAGGCAGACCTGTGAGTGGAGACAGAAGGTTTGTTAGCATGGACAGCCAGTAGCAAATATGTTTCATTTGAACTGGGCATGTGAAATTTACATTTCATAGAGATATTTTAGGTTTACCTTGGCGTAGACACCAGGGTGGTCTCTCTCAGCACACCCGTAG